TCTCTGATGTACCTCCAATTTGACTTGATTGCATTAGCGTTTTTTGAGGTAATGTTGTGTCGTACAGTAAGACAGCCAAGCTGTTTTAAAATTTGGTATTGTATATGTTAGATACACCTATGTTGGAAAATGGCATATCATCACTGAAGGAAAACTTTATGAGGGCATAATGCATTCAGACCCGTGACTGTGGTGTAAGTGCAAAATAGCATAGTGAGAATTTAACTTCACCGTTTGTGTCACTTAAGACAAATTGCAGATTCATACTTCTTGTTCTATAGAATCCTGTCACTTGTTTTTATGTAAAATTATGTGACAGTCGAGCTTGGAAAACACCACAGAAGTAAACTCTTCGAATAAGTGGCACGCATAGCAAAAGGCAGCTCAGTTTTGTAGTTTTAGTATGGTTTCTTTCTAGACTACTCCTCTGAGTACATTGGCATTTTGAAATAAAAGGGTTCGTGTGTGCAGGTCCTATGTCATTCTGTGTTCGTACCATTCCTCTGATTGCTGTGATTATAATGTGAAAACTCCACTGCAAGTGAGCACATCAGTGGCACAATCCTTGTGCACAAACTTAGGTTGAGTGCAGTTTTACTTGCACTTCCACTTAGTGTGCACCGGCTTGTTTTGCAGGACTGTGGAGCAGACTGTGCTAAATTCCAGAAGAGCGAACTGGAGTACAAATTCAACAAGAAAGCCTTAGAAAGGCCCTATACCTCTAAACACTCCTGGGGAAAGACCTATGGGGAGCACAAGCGTCACTTGGAGTTTAGTCATGACCAATATAGAGAGCTAAAGAAATATGCAGAGGAGATTGGCATTTTCTTCACAGCTTCTGGCATGGATGAGGTATGTAAGCCATACTGGAATGACCAGCAGAGTCCAGCTGTTGTGTCTATTGGTTATTATTTAGGTGTGATAGTTCTTACATAAAAAGAATACTAAATATGTGTGGACGTTGAATTTCTAAATGAGGAAACTAGAGTAATTGCACTTCTCCCAGTTCCCTTGTGTCTCTACAATGGTTGAGTAGATGGCTGAATATTTTGGAAGACCTGCCATGTATGCTGAGGTATTTACACATAGTAAATCATAGAGACAAGGCCTCTGTTGAACCCCATAAACAGTCAAGGCTTTGAGAATTTAGATCAAGACTTTAATCTGACCACTATCTGGTGTTGTCTGGTATGTTGGCTCCAAGCATTTCAAACTTCCCTCTGTATTTAAACCAGACTTCTTTCTCAACTTAATCCCTATTATTTCTCTCTTTTTTTTTCTTCTGCTGTTTACTAGGCCCCAGTTGGTGTTTCTAGGAAGCAGAAATGCTTATATTCCTTTTTCTTTTACTAATCTCATGTAGGGGGTCTCCACCTTGCCGTGTTACTCCTGAAGCAGTTACTTGTTTTTGTCAGTGGGATCTTGGAAGAGTCAGTCCCCAGCTTGTAAACGCCATGAAGCTCATCTGCTGCTGTTGCCCCTTAAAAGATGTATACTTCTTTAACTCTTGCACGTTGCCTACCTCAAAATCATGTTTAGTTACAGTATTAACAAATGCAAGGTACAATTAAAATACGTAAACTGAAAAGATCAGGTAACAATTTAACCTTAATACAGATCAGAGATTACAGATTGTTTTACTTTTCTTTGTGGCCTAGAAAATACAGAGAACCAAACTAAAAGAGACCCTCCAGAAGTAAGCCAGCCACTCTTGCATAAGGCAAGAACTGTCATTCTCCTGTCTTTGTGCAAGTAGCCTTACACAGGATGGGACAAGGATAGGATTTATTTAATGTTTTAAGGTGATCTTTCAGTGCCTCACTTTCCTTATCGAAACAATTCCTGAGGTATCAGCTTCATCTCCTTTCTCTAATTTTTTTGTCCTGCCTCATCTGACATAAAAGTTCATACTTTTCTTGTAACTCTTCTCTATGTATATGAACACCATCATCGCATCTCCTTTCTGTTTTGTATTCTGTGCACTAAGCAATTTCAATTCCTTCAACGTTTTAATGCTTTCTTTTCTAGTCCTCTGGCCATTCTCACTCCTTCTGTCGATTTACTGTCCTATACACCAAAATCCTTGAATTGCTGTGCCCCAGCTGAGATGGTATGAGCACTAAATACAATAAAAAATTACTTCAGATATCTGACAGGCAAAAAGGTGTTTTGCATGTATTGCAATAGCCCAATGCCATGGACTCAAATAGATCTGTGAAAAGAGAGCATTGTGATGTTTCTCTTATTGTCGTCTTCATGTC